TTTTCCAATTTAAAAAAGGTAAAAAAAAAAAAAAGCATTTTTGAAATCGTAAAGAAATATAGAAGGAAAAAAATAATCATAGTCATGATCTTAGCATAAATTTATATGGAGAGCTTTAAATAGTGTTGGCCCTCTTTTAGCTTGTTATCACAATTATAAGTTTTAGCTCCTCCAATGAGTTTTAATTTTCGAAAAAGGCCATTTGATTAATACTGAAAACCATTTCCAAAAAGATTTCATCCAATAAGGGGAAGCAGAGATACAGCTGCTTTTTGTATGTCTGCTTCTGTCTCCTTGAACCCCAGTCGGCCTCGGCAGATGGCCGCTCACACTGAGCCTGGTTCTGCTGGATGTTTCTTCCTGTTAAAAAGGGAGTTTTTCCTCTCCACTGTTGCTGCAAGCATGCTCAGTGTGAGGGATTGCATTCGAGTCAATGATTCAATGCAATCAACAGGTTTTTCTTAGATAGATAACTTTGAATCAATTTGACTGTATGATCTGGTGAACTGTAAAGTGGCTTCAGATGATATGTGTTGTGAATTGGTGCAATAGAAATAAACTCAATTGAATTGAATTGAAAAATCTGGCCAAACCAGCCTGACTCTATATTGTATTCCTAAAGCTAATACCTGTCTTAGTCATCGTAGATTATTGGTCTCAATAACATTGTTTTCATAATGTGCTGCTTTTTAAAATCATTATTTCTTCCTGCTGTGTGTTATCAGACAGGTTGTGAGACTGAACTTTAAATTACAAACGAAAAACATGACAAATCACAGTTAATTTAAGATTCAACAATAGGAAAGATCACTTTTTCAAAGAGGGCTTGGTTGATTTTAATTGCTATTGATTAACTCTTGATACGTCATCTTGCCTTATCATAGAAATTTAAAAAAGAAAAACTTTAAAAAAGAAAAATCAGAAAAACAACCTTAACCAGATTGCACGACATCTTCACTACAGTCCGACTGGTTCCAGAATAATCTGTCATTTTCTCAAGATGTGGCCTCTACCCAGGGTAAGAGGGGATGTCATGTGCTCAGGTGAGGGTAGAGTAGATGCCTCTATTACCAAGATAGACCACCAATGAGCAGCAGCTTTAGATTTCTGCTCTCTGCTTTTATTCAACTGTGCTTGTCAGTTGTGACTCTGATTGGAACAGTTTTTGTCCGTGAATTTGTCCTTTCACTAATCTGAATACAGTCAAATGACTATTTAATAATTTTCACCATCTGCACCTGCTAGTGTTTTTTTAATGGCATTCACCTGTTTTCTGTTAATCCCTGTTGTGTTTAAGTCAGTATTTTGTTCCCTGGCCATCTGATCCTATATTCATGTTTCCCTGCTGTAACTCTAGTTTCCTCAGTGTCTTTTAAACTGATCTTTTTTTCATTAAAATCCTTTCAACATGTGTCTGCCAGTGTCATGGTGCTACTTCAGTCCTTTCTCACCATCAGCCCTGATACTATCTTGTTCATATCAAAGTACTAACATGTATTCTTTACCATTTCGGTATGATAATGCTTTAATCAATGATTACAGCATATATGAGGTTGTCAATTATACAGTATCCCTAGGTGAAAGAAACAAATGGCTGCAGCTAAGAACTTTCCCATGGATTGGTTGAAAGGTAAAAAACATGATCTTGAGGATTTTTAAAGTGATTTGTTCTGACTAAGAAGTGGTTTCCTGACAGAGGTCATTGTTGCAGGTTATATTACTGTAGAGCGGCATTGCTAATTGCAGGTTATAAATCAATGCTTTGTACTGGAGAATATTTAACAAATAATCTCATTGGGAATACTGTAGTTATTTGAATATAATTGATTTCAGTAGGTGGCATTTCTGTGTGTTATATTCTGTATGCAAAATGTTTACTTGCAGCGTAGGAGATGCAGAATCCAATTTGAGTTTGTTCCGATTTCATTCTGAGAGCAGTAATTGGACATTTAAATTGAGTTTTTTTTTTTTTTTCCACAGTTTTGAGTTGATTTGAAAGTTTAGCAGTTTTAATACTAGAACATTTCCAAACAACACAATAAGAAAAAAATCCCCAAAAGTAACAAATCATATTAGTTTAAAATGTCTGTCACTGGAAATTCTAAATCCAATTTTGCAAAGTTGTGTAACAGCAGAATTTGTTTGATGAAATCTGATTTTAAATAATAATTATTCTGATAAATCATATTTAGCTCCTTTAATCCTCCCATTAAAGAACCTCCTAGGATCACACAAAACTCTAAATGAAAGTTACTGAAAAGTAGCAACGAGGTGATGCCATCGACATCACCTGATAATCAGCAAGGAGTTTGGGCAGTTTGGTTGGTCTCATCCATGCAGATGTTTGCTAAAAAGGTAGCTCGATATCGATACACATAAAATATTTAATACTCAGCATAATTTATTGGAAATATTATGGACATATGGGATATTGGATAAAACAGACAAATCATTAAAGGCACTAAAACTATGTTGTATTAAATTGAAAAACTCAGAATCACAGATGGTACTTAAATAGGTGTGTAAATAAATGCAGAATAAGCAGCCTAATATAACACATTTTGACAGTATTTTGAGGTTGTCTGTGGAATAATCCTTAAAAAAAGCAGAAATTAAAAAATACGGAAGCAATACTTGTCTTTAGTATTATTACCCTAGCATATAAGTATTTTATCTAAATACAGCGTTTAAAGGTATAGTAGAGGATTCTCGCAAATTTTTTGAAAGGACCCCCTCGCTCCACTTAAAAAAAAGAAAAAAAAAAGGACCTGCACAACCCTGTACTCACTCCCGAGAAGAAACGCCTATTAAACGCGTTCAAAAGCAAGCACAAGCGTATTTCTCTATCAGGATTAAGAAAATGGTCGCTTGAATGGATCTTATCTCACGCATATTTATATTGAAAAACTTTCCCCACAAATAAGACTACTGGTACATACAAAGAAATCATGAAAAAAGTACAGATGTGTGACCTTCATCTAATAATATTCATATGGTAATATGATTTGAGTTGTATTACAGAAACAGGACATAGACACCTCTTAGTGACGTGTGCCCAAATTCTCCTATGCACAACACATATGAAGTCATTATCTAATGGCTTATGTTTAGTTAAATGACAATTCAGAGCACAACAACAAATCTACATCATGGTAGAAAAAGAAACAAGTCAAGTTTAGTAGATTAGGTGTGCAATAGTGCATATTGAGCTATAGATCCAATACCAAGTAAATACAGGGCAAGTATCGCCGATATTCATAAAAATACCAATATCAGTACTTTGTTAAATTTAGGGTCCAAATTATGTTTCCATTTTTTATGGATTTATATTTGTTGAGCATTTGGATAAAGATTAAATGTGGTTATTTTATTAGATGAACAAATGGAATCACTACAGTAGGGGAATGTGCCTCCTCCTAGTTCACACAGAAACAGAGGCTATATAGTTGTTGCCTTTTCTGAAAATACAGCAGTAGTGCATAAAGAGTGAATATAAACTAAAGTGTTGCTCTAACTACCATTGTATCAGTTACCGATAACAAGTGAGTATTGACATTATCAATTTTGATCAATCTGCCCACCCTTATTTAGAACACTTGCAAATTCAAAAACTAAA